TGATTCAGTTCTGTTATTTCCTTGCTTAGTTTTTGTCTTGTTGACTTATCTTTTGGGGAAAAAAAGAGTGCTAAGGTCTCCTGTTAAGATTGTGGTTTTGGATATTAGATTTTTCATGTCCTTTAAGATTTGCTTTATATAGTTGGGTGCTCCTGTGTTTGGTGCATTCATATTTATGAATGTTACCTCTTCCTCTTGAATTTTTCCCCTAACCAGTATAGAGTGACCTTCTTTATTTCGTTTGATCTTTCTTGGTTTGAAGTTGAGACTGTCTGAGAATAGGATTGCTGCCCCTGCTTTATTCTGAGGTGTTGGGACATGTAGTATTGTGTTGCATCCTTTGACTTTCAGCTTATGAATCTCTTTAAACATTAAAATGTGTTTCTTGTATACCACATATTGTTGGATTTTGTTTCCTAATCCACTGTGCCAGCCTATTTCTCTTAATTGGTTAATTGAGTCAATTAACATTGATGGTTCGAACTGACATGTATTGACTTACATTGACATATTAATTACCTGTTGTCATTTACTCCTTTTTCTCCTGTATTTAATTGCTTGCCCTATTTAGTTGGTTGCTTCTGATCTCATTCATGGAGTTCTGAATATTTTTTTCCCTTTCTAGAACATCTTTCAGTAGTCCGTGTAGGGTTGACTTCATCATCATGAAATTCTTTAGCTGTTCTTTGTCATGAATGTATTTAACTTCTCTGTCAAACTTGAAAGAGAGTTTTCAGTTTATAGTAGTCTTGGCTGGAATTTGTTTTCATAAAGGACTTGAAGTACTCTGCTCCATGCTCTTCTTGCCTTCATGCTTTGTGAAGAGAAGTTGGCCATAATTCTGATGGGTTTTCCTTTGAATGTGATCTGCTTCTTTGCTCTATCAGCTTTCAGTATATTATTCTTGTGCTGAATTTCTGTGATCTGGACTATTGTATTTGTCAGTGTGTTTTTCATTGGGTTGAGGTTCCTTGGCATTCTGTATTCTTCTGTTACCTGAATGTCAGATTATTTCCTCATATTTGGGATTTTTCTGCTATTACTTCTGCCCATATTTTTTAAAATGTCATTTGTATTGACTCCTTCTTTTTCATTGATGCCTATTAGTCTCACATTGTTCATTTTTGCATCATCTTGAAGGTAATGGATTATTTTTTTCTCTGCATCCTAATGGTTTTTAAGAGATCCTTTCTTACCTTTTTACTAGATGCACCAGCGTCTTCAAGGCTGAAACTCTGGCTTCACTTTCACTTGAATGGTTTTGCAAGCTTGTGATTGAGATTTTAAATTCCTCTGTATCTCTTTGACTCTGTTTTACTCGACCTATTTCTTTACTCTATTGCTCATTCAAGGCTTATCTTAGTTTTCTACACTCCTCTAATTTTTTATCAGTGTCTTCATTTGAATCAGTTATTAATTCTTTAATTATAGTTATCCTTTCTTCTTTTACTTCAGAGATATTTATCTGATCTGATTTCCTTTATATGTTTCTTCAATTGATTCTTTACTTCAGATGCTTGTAATTCAGAGATTTATGTTCTTATTCCAGACATTCTGCCTTCCTCTATACCTTTCTCCAGTTTTTTTTTTTTAAACTTCAGAGTGTATTAGTTCAGACATTTCACCTGCTGAATCCCAATTTCTTTTGTGCTAGTGTCTCCTGCATTTGTTCTCTTTGTGTTCAGGGCCTGAGATTTCATTTTTCTTTTTCTTTTTTTCAATTTGTATGGCCCTGTCCTCTGATCTTTGTTATAGAGCTTTGGTATAGTTATAACCTTAGGACCTACCAAAATTCTTCCCCAAAAGAGATTATATAATTATATGATTAAGGCCATCATAGTTTTGTGTTTAGAGAACTAAAAATAGAAGCACTAGTAATATGTAATATTTATCAGTTGACAAACTTTTTTAACTGGTGGGTTCATATTTTAGACCATAATTGGAAGCAATATCTCTGTATACCTACACATATATTAAATTGGGGATTTGTATTTAAGTTTGTTTATTCTAAGTTCTGTCTGATCATCTTCTCTTTTTGAACCTCGTGTCTTCCAGGCAGACTAGATCACCACAGTTACCATTGGCCGGGGCCTGGCCCTAGCTCAGTTGGGGGACTGGCCCTAGCTCAGTTCTTTAAGTGGCTGCTTCCACAAAGCTGTCAGTCTCAGGTTGCTATAGCTCAAGCACCACAACACTGCAGCCAGCCAAAAGTGCCCTGATGGCATTCGAGGAGAAAAAAAAATTCTTACAGCATTTGCCTCTTTTCTCAGCCAAGAGAGAAAGAAGGAGGATGCTGTTATAGATCTAGGTCTAGAAAAGTGCCTCAGCTTACCAGGTGTGGATGTATGAAGTTTGAATTCATCCCAGTGTGCCTGGATTCTGTCTAGCTGCTGTGCTCATCTTCTTTCTGTTCCTGCCCATGGAACTTAACCCACTGTCCTCTTCTGGCAATGTGTTCTGCTCTGGAATTAGCAGGGTGGTTCTGGCCCCTAGACTCTCTGCAGGGCCTTCAGCTAGAGAGTTTCACACCAGGCCTGTATGCCAGGCGTGTGCTGGATCTCAAAGAGTCTGGTCAGCCCAGTGGAACTGAAGCTCTCCCACACACAGATCAGGCCTAGTTGGGTTCATAGGGGTCTAGGGGGCAGTAGAGCAGAAGCTATCACACACACACACCAGGCTTGGGCTGTGTTTGGAGGGGTCCCTAGAGCAGGGCGCATGATGTCACTCACATGCCAGGCCTGGGCTAGGTCCGGAGGCATCCATCAGGCGGTGGAGCAGAAGTTCCCCCTCCACAGGGCCTGGCCTGGGTTTGGAGGAGCTCCAAGAGCATGGCAGATGGTTTCACTCACACATCAGGCCTGGACTGGGTCTGGTGGGGTCAGGTGGGCATCGGAGCAGAAGCTGTCTCAGACACATGCCGGACCTGGGCTGGTTCTGCCTAATCTTTTATTTTCATTTGTTTAATATGATATTCTTTGAAATGTCAAATATTTATGCCTGTTTTCTTTTACTTACTTTCTTTCTCTTTTGGTTTCCTGAGACATGCTTTTAACTCTGTAGTCCAAATTAGCTTTAATCTTAGTAGCATGTTGGGCTTAAATTCGCAATTATTTTGCTTTATCCTCCTGTGGGCTAGGATTACACATATGCACTACCATATCCAGGTGAAATACTAAGTTTCAGTTTGGACACTTTTTTTTTTTTTTTGTATTTTAGGGAAGCATCTACAGGGTGTTCATTGTCTCACTATATAGTTCATATTAGACTTGCAGTGATCTGCCTGTTTACAGCTTCCCAAGAGCTGTGATTACAGGCACGTGCTATCAGACCCAGTCTCAATTGTCATCTCAGGGTTCCCTAGGGGCAGGGCCAGCTCGGCAAGCCTGGGCATCGAATCCCTGGCCCCTGTGCCTTCTTGCACGCACTTTATGAATACAATTTTTGAATTGCTAACTATATATACATTGAGTGGTCTTACATTGTATTAAGAAAAACTGTCCAAGCATGATAAAAAATATTCTCAAAAGCTGTCTTATACACAATGGTGTATATGAAGTTCCTCTCCTGTAGTCTTTCTGGGAATTTAACTGGCATTTTGTGTTGGTTTGAGGAAACGTTTTATATCATTTTTTGGGGGTCCAATTGACTCAGAATCCTTTTTTGTAAAAGTTCTTCTTCCTACAACAAGGCCACTTTAGTCATAAACAGAACTCCACTGTGTCTGAGTTTATACCTATTGACTGTTCTGTTTTATTCTGTAATCTACTGATCCTTGAACCAATATCATACCTCCTTAGTTGTCATAACATTATAGTATATCTGAGATCTTTCAGTAAAATTGAAGTTGATCTTTTAATATTCTTGCCAAGTACATTACTCTGTTCATGTTTTATGTATTTATGCATAAAATTTAGAACCAGCTTTACATATTTAACCAAAAAAGAAAGTAGTATTTTGATATAGATTAGATCTACCCTACCTATGAATTTGGAGATAATTTTTATGTTAGGATTCTAATTTCTACCAGGGATTTTAGACAAGTTTGGATAAATATTTATTTATTCATTTACTTTTGGAGACAGGGTTTCTCTGTATAGTTCAGGCTGATGTTGAATTTAGCATGTACCTTAGATGGCCTCACACTCACTGCAGTCCTGTCTCAGTCTCCTGAGTTCTGGGAGTAGACATGTAATCTGAATTGCTTTTTTGTGTTGCTTTTATTTCTGCATAATGTTCTAGGTATAAAAATTCTCTTGACTTTTTTCAAATTTTTTATGGAATATTTTTGGGTAATTAGTTTGAGGTCTACAAAATGTTGCAATAAATTTATAATTATTTCAAAATAATATTTGTCCACATTTCCCAAGGTTAGCATATTGTATTTTCTGCCTCTTTCTGCTTTATTTGTGCAAATAATAAAACATTCCTTAAAGAATAGTAAAAAGGAGATCACTGATATGATCATTTAATGTTAAAACAGAAAAGTCTGGCATAGACCGAAGCAGAATTTTTCATACTCAAATTAGTTGTTCAGATTACCAGATATAAACTTGCAAGATTTGTTTAAGGAAAAACAAAAACAATACAATAACAGAAGTTTTAAACAATTCAAAGATGGAAGAAAAAAATCAGAGAAAAATAAATTTAAGCATCAGTTTCTCCTTTCAAAAGACCAGGAGAAACTGACAATGCAATTATATAAACTAATCTGCATGTATACCTAAATATATATTTTTTCTTCTTTCATTTGTCCTTTTTCTCATCCAGATTTTTCTTGTCATTGAACATTTGCTTTCCCTTTCAGCAACCATTGCTGAATTCCTATTACTTTGCTTAGTGAAATATTGTATCATTTGTAATGCTGTTTTCTTTCTATCATTATTTTATATTCTTTTAAAAAGACAGGAAATCATTGCTCCTCTATCACAGATGTCATTCTACATACCAGCCCTAGACTGTCACTGGCGTAACTCAGTTTTTTGTTCACATTCTCTCTGTAGGAAACCGGACTCAGCTGCTGTCTCAAGGCAAAGAATATTTGTCAGAGGCAGAACGCTCTGCATCCTCAGAGGACCTGACTAGTAACTCCCCAGGTAAGGATGTCCCCAGGGTAAAACCTGCTCCTTCCCATATCAGCACCATTGACCTGACTCTGTCTCTACTCAGACAGGAGATACCTGCGACTGGTGGATGGGCGTAGTCCCTGTGCAGGGAGAGTGGAGATACTGCATCAGGGATCCTGGGGCACCATCTGCGATGACAGCTGGGACCTGAATGATGCCCATGTGGTGTGCAGACAGCTGGGCTGTGGAGTGGCCCTCAATGCCACGGTGTCTGCTCACTTTGGGCAAGGATCAGGGGACATCTGGCTAGATGAGCTGAACTGCACAGGACAGGAGTCCCATGTGTGGAAGTGCCCTTCACAGGGGTGGGGAGAACACAACTGCTGGCACAAGGAAGATGCAGGAGTCATCTGCTCAGGTCTCTGCTCACACTATCCATAGGCTTGGGTGGGGAGGGAGGGTCCCTAGGATGGTGTCTGAGCCCTCGAATTAGTTTGGAGGAGTTGCCTGAAGGCTAGAATGAGAGAAAGCCCCTACCCAGGGCCTGTTTTCAAGGAAAGCAGAAGATTAGATGCTGTCACTTCCTCCTGAATTAGCTGGGGTTCTTTTCTTTCTTTCTCAGCTCTATCTCTCAATACTGTCACTTTCTACAATTTCTACTTGAACACATTACTCAACATTAAGTTACCTTTGAGTTCAAGCCCTGCGGGCCACACTTTTTGTTTTATATTGGTGCTATAATGTACTAATACCCATCAGTGGCTTCAAACAACAAAACCAATTATCTTATAGTCCTGTAGATGTCCAGTCTTATCAGGCTAGATTAATAGCTAGGTGCCAGTTGGGGCTACATTATTCTAAGGATCAAGGAAGTGTAGTTTCCTCCGTTTTCAAGTTTCTAAAATTTGCTGCAATTCCTTTTGTCTCGGTTTCTTTCTTTTTCAAATGAAATGCATTATAAATAAGGAAGCATATTTCCATGGTCACATTTCCTACTGACCAGTCTGGGATGATGGTCTGCTTTTGTAATACATTTCTAACAATATGATTAGATAGGGCTCACCTGGATAATTCTGAGAAACACAACATAATCTCAGCATGAAAAGATGGTTATTTTAATTCTATCTTCAAAGGATAATCCTTCATCCTTTTTGCTATATGAGGCAACATACTGATAGGAACAGAAATTTGGCATATTTGGAACTCCACATTTCTACTTGCCCCCCAACAACCATCCACATTTTTTTTCACATGGCCTATGATATGTTCATTCATGAAACATGATTCAACTTTCCTGTCTGAACATCACCTATGTCAAGGTCCCTATTAATTGTCCATGACATCATTGTGGCAGAATGAGAAAGACAGGTTCAAATTTGAAAGAACATGTGACAAGGAGATTTTTTTTTCAACAGAGTAGTGGGGGCCTGCCCACTAGCTCAGTTGTTTAAGTGAATGCTTAAGCAAAGAAATCAGGCTCAGAATTCTGTGGTTCTATCCTTAGAGCCTCATGCCTTACCAGATCTGCCCTTCAGGCATCCTGAGTGGGCCAAAAAAATGCTTCTCACCAGAGTAGCAATGAACATTCATCACTTAGGTTAAAAGAAAAAGCAGAACACTAAGTGCTGACTCCTAATCATGTCTTGTTCTTTTCCTTTCTATTTCAGCGTTCTTAGCTCTCAGGGTAGTGAGTGAAGAACAAGAGTGTGCTGGGTGGCTGGAAGTTTTCTACAATGGGACCTGGGGCAATGTCTGCCACAACCCCATGGAAGACATGACTTTGTCAGTGATCTGCAGACAGCTTGGATGTGGGGACAGTGGGACCCTCAACACTTCTGTTCCTGCTCAGCAAGGTTCTAGACCCCATTGGGTGGATGGAATCCAGTGTCAGAAAACTGATATTTCTCTCTGGCAGTGTCCTTCTGACCCTTGGAACTCCAGATCATGCCTTCCAAAGGACGAAGCTTATATCACATGTGCAGGTGATCTACTATTTCCTTGTGTCCGTCTCTATCGTTGTGTCTGTCAGGAGGGTGGAAGGTCAAATTTCAGTTACATAAATCACTTGAAATCTGCTATCGTTCTGTTGAGTTTTTCACATACCATATTTCACTCTCACATTGAACTCCTGTTAGATGTTATGTTGCTCATTTAATTCAAATAAGTTAGATGAGTCTAGAAAAATGTAAATGCAATTTCAAAATCTTATACTACATATGACCAGATTGTGGAATATAAGTCTACTTAATTCATCTTTTATT